ATGGTATTTTCAGCACCGAAAATTAAGTGAGGATAATAATCGTTGACGACTATCAAAATGATCTTGTTATACAATTAAATGTTTCTACTTCCAAAATCTATTACGATAACATGATAACAATTCTTTTAATTTAGATTAATATTCTTCTTTGTTGCCTTTTGTGGTGGTGTATCCGTGTATGGTGGTGTTGTCATTAGTCTTATTAGTACTTTGAAATTCGGTAGTTCAATTCTGTGAATATATTCATAGACATTATTTGTGATTAAAAAAAAAGAAATATTCATAGACATTATATGACCCCAAAAAAAAGTTGTTTGTGCTACGTTGTTGGATCCGGATGACGTGGCAAAATATATACCGTTGATAAATATTCAGACGTAGACGTTACCACAGTAGATTATTCTTTATCTGCTTTCCCTCTTGTGTATTTCTTCCGCAGAAGCGAGCGATATTGAAAATCTAGAAGTCGGCTTCTCACCGAAAGACGAAGAACAATCCTTAGTTCCTATAATCGAAACGAAGATGGCCGTCGAGAAATCGAACACGAAACCAGAAGGTGTCGAGATAGTGAAGCCACGTACGGACAACAGAGAATATCGGAGGATTGTCCTCAAGAACTCGCTTCAGGTTCTGTTGATCAGCGATCCCGATACTGATAAGGTTTGTGTGACATCGCTAAGATTTAAATTCCTGATATTTGATTTTGGGTTCCTTTATTGATTCGAAAAGTTTTGATTTTTGCAAGTGTGCTGCTTCGATGAGCGTTAGTGTTGGATCTTTCTCTGACCCACAAGGATTAGAAGGCTTAGCTCATTTCCTTGGTACGTTGAATTCTCCAAAGTTTTGTAATTTTGAATTGTCTACCATCTTAATTTGTGTGCCCTTATAGTTATTTTGCCATTGAATGATTCAATGATTGAGCTCTTTTAAGTGATTAAATATTGTCTCAATTGTATCTTTTGATATTCATGGAATGGTTTGTTATAATGTTTGATTATTGTTTTTCGTTTGTTAGAGCATATGTTGTTTTATGCAAGTGAAAAATACCCAGAGGAAGATAGTTACTCCAAGTACATCGCAGAGGTAAGATACATATCCTTAACACTCTCTAGAATATGAAGTCGAAGAGACTCGAAGTTGTTCTTAATTCCACACGATGTAAAATTTTGGAATTTTGTTGGTGTAGCATGGAGGCTGTACAAATGCTTATACATCCTCTGAAGAAACAAACTACCATTTCGACATTAATACTGACTCTTTCAACGAGGCTTTGGATAGGTACAGTTGTTTCTTTTTCACCTCGATGAATAAGCTTCTCTAATCTTTTACCATTATGTGTAAGATTCTTATGTGACTGCATATATCAGATTTGCTCAGTTCTTTATCAAACCACTAATGTCGGCTGATGCCACCATGAGGGAGATTAAGGCTGTTGACTCAGGTTAGATTTTCTCTTGCTTTACGTTTTTTCGTGCTGCAGTTCGTGAACTAAACCGATTATAACGAGTTTTCTTTATCCAGAGAATCAGAAAAACTTGCTCTCTGATGGTTGGCGAATGCGACAGGTATAGCTCTAGTCTAAAGAACAATTATCTGAGTTACTTGTATTCATATCAACCCATATAGTTGGTACTATCACTGTTTGAGGGATGCATTTCACTCAGTGATTCATTATGATAAGAAAAAGTTTAATTGTGGA